TTTACTGCGATGATCATCCTTCACTTTCATCTACAACCGCAGTTCATATATGAATTATTTCATATAAACTCCACATCATCAGAGAGTTTAAGTAACCACTTAGGCAACAGTGAGGACAATGTCCATTAAAAGGTGAATTGATGTTTTTAATACAAATCTTGCTGTACTCTAAAGTCGTTTACTCTGTTTATCATTGTCAAAATTACCTCAAAACTGAATCTGGAACACAGCAATAAATTTGAAATACAAATTTAACAAATTATCCATAGTGGTTCACGTTCTCGAGACGATCCAGAATTTGGTCATTTGACATTGTTTTGCAGAGGATGACAACGAAATGTACCAGGAATTATAAAGAACCTGCACAGCCATTGTTCTGCTCATTATACCTTACATTTAGCAAATTACCATTGCCTTCATGGTTTCCCTCACAACCTTTCCCACTCTCACCACCCTAGCCACCCCTGACACCCTCACCACCCTGGCCGCCCTTACAACCCTTGCCACCCCCACCACCCTCGACACCCTTACCATCTTCACCACCTTTGCCACCCGCAAAACCCTTGCCACCCACGCCAACCTTGCCACCCTTACCACTCTCCCACCCTCGCCACCCTCACCACCCTTGCCACTCTCCCACCCTCGCCACCCTTGCAACCCTCACAATCCTTGCCACTCTCCCATCCTCGCCACCCCTGCAACTCTTGCCACTCTTTCACCTGCACCACCCTTGCCACCCTTGCAACCCTCGCCAACCTCGCCACCCTTGCAACCCTCACAACCCTGGCCACCCTTGTCACCCTCACTGCCCAAGCCACCTTCGCCACTCTCACCACCCTCACCACCCTGGCCAACCTTGCCACCCTCGCAACCCTCACCACCCTTGCCACCCTTGCCATCCTCACCACCTTCGCCACCCTTGCAACCCCTGCCAACCTGGCCACAAAAATAACCACAAGTTTGTCTGAGTCACCTGTTTAGTGAGTTTCCTGATGAGCCCACAGATTGCATTGTGCTCTTGTTCTTGTGTCCTTGTTCTCTCTTTCCCTGTATGGAGTTGGTATACCAGCTATAAGCTAGATTTGATTTGATGAGGGTCATACAGGGGTATTGTTGTGATGAGTGATTAGCTGATTTAATTTTCCATGAAACATGAATTTAAGAAATTACTCTTCGTGATCTGTGACCTGAAGGTTCTGCATGACCCGTGAAGAACTTGACTTATTAACCAATACTCGTGATTTCACCAAAGCATTCTACATGATTTTGAGATGCAAGACCTCTGGAAGATTTGTTGTTTCTTCTGGCTGTTTACTACAGGAAGTGAATGAATGGTTAGAGTCGTCTATCAAGAGTGATTTAGGTATGCAACTTGCGATATGGAGCCTTTACTTAGCCCTTCACGATTTTGCTTTCTTCAAACACTCTTTCTAGCCTAAGAGCAGGTTATTAAAAAGAGTAATTAGCTTGCTTATTTTCGTGATTCTGGAAAATAAATTTTTCAAAATGAAATTGAATTTTTTCCATGATCTGTGATCGCAATTTTTTCTGTTCGTGAACCATGTCAGAGACCACCCTGCACGACCCTCTTTGATTTATTGTGGGTAATTGGCTTTCAAATTGTAAGTACAACTGTAAACATCATCAGAGAGCAAAATAATATTATTCTGACAGAGGCAAGATTTTCTTTCACATTTCTAGGATACTATCAGGAGCAAGTCCAAATCCATATATTTGACCCTGAATTATTTAAAAGATAATCAAAATAAACATTTATACAAACTTACTGCATGTGCCATTTGCTTGAACCTTGCCCAGTTTACACTCAAAGGCTTTGAGAGCGCCATTTTGCCATTTAATCCATGCAATGCATCTTCTGCTTCCTGGTAAATGTTAAAACAAAACATAGCAGGTTGATGTCCTTAATCTCCTAATCTCCTTTGCAGACGGAATTTGATTCATCGTGAACAGCACTTCTGTTTTTATCATCAACACTCACCTCAAATGTCTTGAATTCAACAAAACAATAACAAGGTTCTCCTTCTCTAACACCAGATTTATGAAAATGGAGTTGGAAGTTCTTGATCTCTCCAAAACGCTGCAGAATTTTCAGAAGATTGTACCTGAAAAACATACATGCACATATAACACACCTGTCACAAAATCAATTAAGTTAAGCTCAGTTCATAAGCTTTAACTTACTCGCTTAGTCGCTTGTCCAAATTCCCGACCCACAAAGTTAATTTGCTATCAACGGTTTCATCTTTTCCCTGCGAGAAAAAATAAATCATTAATTATCATCAAGCACGAGGAATTAATCTAACCATTTGATTGATATAAAGTGAAAAAGCAAAGATGTTTTCCTTTTCTCACTTTTCCGTCGCTACAAGCAGCCATGTTGATCCAGTTCAGTTTCCCTTACATGAAGGATATTTTTTTTCATGGAATTCCGCTGTGAACAAAATTCCATCTGATCGATCCAGGCCAATCCAGGCCCCACACGACCAATAATGGCGGACAGACGGGAAGAAAGCCCTCGTCGATCGAGCAAGAATTCTAAAAGTTCCGAAGCAACCAAAGTAAGTCCACTGTTCCAGTCGCACAATTGCTTCTTCGTAGAGTTACTAAGTTCTTATTTTAAGTTTACTTTAATATAATTATTACCAGGATGGTTCACGATATATACTACCTGATCATCACCCTGCAATCGCCCCATGTAAAGGAATCCAAGAGGGTCTTGGATTCCGGATTCCACATCGTGGATTCCGGATTCCATGCCTCTGGATTCCGGATACCAGACGATTTTTTTTTTTTAATTTTTTTTTTAAAATAATACTAGTGAGCAGCACTTCAGCAACAGATCTTGTCAACTTGCTTTATTTTCTCCGACCGGTTTCGTCTGATCATACAGACTTCATCAGGGAGTTTGAACAAGATACAATATATAGATTTAGGCCAGCCTAAAAGCGTAGCTCCTGGGCTGGGTTGTTCAAAGCCCGATTAAGCTAACCCAGAAAAAGGTAGAATTTTGATTTGNATTGCGTGCAGGATATGACTAAAATCCTGCGAATGTGCAATGTTTAATTTTGGGGCTCACGGATTTAACGTTAAATCCGTGAGCCCCAAAAACATTAACATGAAAATGAACCTGTGGGCGGAAAACATTTTCATATGAACGTACGGTTTCACACGAAGACTTGTTTTGACACAGAGGCAAAAGGCAACTCGGAATTGGAAATGGCCTGTTCGTTTGTCCTAAGAATTTAACGTGATCTGCCGCGAAGTCATGTGAGAAGTTATTTTCTAGACTACTGTAGACTATTTGTGTTCTGTTCTGACCCCCAGTCACGCCCCAGAATATTAAGTGCCGCCAGACGTGATACATGAGTGACATATTAGTAAACAGTTTACGCGCGTCACTGTAAGTGCATTTAAATTTAGCAGCTCAGATAAATCAACGTGCGAATGCCCTGGGGGAATACTGACGATACTTCGCACATGTTATTGTAGCTCTTCCTGAGAATTTTTCATTTTACTGCTTGGGATCTAAGGGAAGACACACAGATGATATGGCCGTGACCTTTAAAGGCACTGTCTGTCATCGCTTTGTCAATATAATGATCATTTAGAAAATGGAAATAATATTCTGTAGCACGGCCATGTAAGGGCAAATGTTTCTCACAGCGTTCTTCCAGAAGTGTCCGCAAAACTGCGCGAAGTACAAATACTCTTGTTTGTCAGTAGAGGGTTAGCGATTATGAGCTTCTCATTATTAAAAGAGTGAAGCGAATAAAAAATAAAAAAGATAATTAGGTAAACAACATTAATGGTAACGCGAGACGCTCGCCAATAAATTATTCCAGGCATGAAACAGTTTGAAAAAACTCTTGAATATGGGTAACATGGGTAAACATGGATGACTATTCGGCAAACATCACATCACGATAGGAAATTGTCTAACTTAGTAAGCCAGTTTTGTAGTTCAGTCCACAACAAAACACATTACAAGTCCTATTTTTGTTACCTTTCTTTGAGAATATTTTATATTCATGCTGTAAAGATTTACATATTAGAACAGATACGCGCCAGTGGTCAGGTCAAGAAGGTGGGGTCCCCTTTAAAAATATTCCTTTGTGTGTGTATATAGAGTGCATGCGCGAGTCTCTGTCTGCGGCCGGGCGTTTAGCGGTAGAGGGTTTCTGCACAGCGATCTTAATTCTGCATTTGTGAACTCCAACAGCTCTTTTAACAGGTACTGGTTGACCTTTTACTTCTCAATGCAAGCGTTATGCGTGAGTGTGTGATGACAGCGCTGTGTTGCTCGCTGCAGAAAGATGGACGCTGTCTATCAAACTTGACTACGTGACTGCCGAAGTCAGCTAAGGCGTTGTTCATAGCGTTCGTTGGTTCGAGAACATTTCGCTTGCTAGCCTTAATTCGGTTTCGCATTGGTTGTGTGCTTTTCGTTTTAGGATGCCTTACAAACAGTGGTACGAAGATCTTGATCAAATCAAGCGCCGTTGCAGAGGCGGTGGGCTTTTTGAAGACCCTGAATTTCCTGCCATCGACAGCAAAGTCTTCAAGAAGCGCGTACTGCCTGGCGGTCAGTCTTTCGAATGGCTCCGGCCCCAAGTAAGTGCAGAGTGGATTTCGTTGTAATCCTTCGGTTTTACGTTGGAGCTGGAGAGATTAAGTTCTTGTTTGTCTCTAGCGTTTCTTTGGAAGATTAAAAATATTGCTGGGAATCGCTGAATAGAATTGTTTTATTTTCAGGCGTAAACAAACGTATAAATAAGTCTTACTTCTGAGATGTTTAAGTTTGTATTAATATTCCAATGCAAGCCAAAGTGTGAGCCGTTTCCAGTTATCATGTTCATTTTTTATTGATTTACTTCGATATGAAGCTAGTGCCTTGGAATGAAAATATTCACTCGCAATCCACTCGTGGAATATAATGTGGGAGAATGAAGAAATAACGCGCTCTTGCTTAAGTCTCAGTCTGGTCTTCTAGCGTTAATTAATAAGAACGCTTCTTTTGTGTCCCCTGGGAAATTAGCTCCATTTCGTGAACTTGTTTTAACAAAAGACTTCCTATAATTTTCCGACTGTTGGTAGAAGCCTTTGTTACGACTGTTGTTTGTGTGTTAAGAATTGTTCAGGCTGATGACGAGCTTGTTATATTTGAATCAAGCAATGTCTCCAGAGAACTCTCTGGAACCAGTCACATGTACTGTATAGCACATACATCATTAAGCTTAAATTTGCATTTCCTACCGCCAGAATCCCTCAAACCCTGCTGTAAGGATTCTTTCGCCACAGTTGCAACCTTTGTCAGTGCATTAAAGCTAAGGCTTCTATTGACGGACTGACAGTAATGTTCTGAGTTCTACCTGCAGTCCTAATTTCTTCAAGTGACATTCTTTGCATACAAGTGTTCCCTAGGGAGTATTATGCTAATTACTGTACGCCCTGTGAACTTTCTTTTATCATGGAATTTCCCAGTTTGCCAAAGTGATAGATGCATACATGTCAGAGTCTTATATATAATAAAAAGAAAATTTCTTTGATCATTTTTCCATATATACATGTATCTGGTGACAAAGTGTTTGCCTTGTATTTTTCTTTCACTTGACCTTAGAAGATGAAAGGTGAAACTAAGACAACAGTGGGAGCCGTTTTAACTAGAGTCTTTTTTTATGCAATATATTTGGTAAAAAATATTAACACCCAAAACATTTTGAGGAAATAATTGGAAAAAGAAATGTTGAATGCACTAATAAATAGTTTGCCCTTTTTTATGGCAATCATCTCGTAAGCTACAAAGTTGGCTCTCAATTTACAGATGATTTCAATTGTTTGTTTACACCTGCTTGCTTGTATCATAAACAAGTAGGCTACTGTTTTACATGGCTTGCAGACCATGAAACAACTGTCTTGATTCTTTTTTAAGATGATGATAATGTTGGTAATAATAATAATAATAATAATAATAANCAAAGTAGTGATAAATGTAGGATCCAGTGAAACCTTTGCAATTATTAGTTATAATGTAAAAATTAAACAAGAACTAGACTGACATGCTCAAAGATTAAATGAAAAAGTTTTAAGTCAGTTTTTATAAAACAGCCACCCTGTTATTACTGTCACCTTGTTATATATTATGGCCACTTTATTCTGGCCCAAATAGAAGCTCAATCAGTCATTTCCTTATTTGAAGAACCCCTTTAACAGAGTATGGCCACCCCATTTTTGTGACCCAGTGGTGACTGGATTAACAGGGTGTCACTGTAATGCGTAATGAGGACTTGCAGAATAAGTCATTGAATGTAAAAGTTGCAGTACGTGTAAATTTTTTTTTCGAGTCTAAAGGTCCTTTTATATTTCAGGAACTTTTAGATGCCCAAGGAGAAGGACAGAGAGCCAAGATGTTGGTGGGTGGGGCATCTCGCCTCGACATTAATCAAGGTATGTTAGGAGACTGCTGGCTGTTGGCGGCAATTGCTTCCTTGACCCAGGAAGAGAAATTGATGGATAAAGTTCTTCGCATTGGCAAGTATGATGAATTTGGGAGTCCTGGCTACTGTGGTGCATTTCAGTTCAGCATTTGGCAAGATGGAGACTGGGTGGACGTGATTATTGATGATCGTTTACCAACATACAGGAAGAAACTGGTTTTCATGCATTCAAAAGACAAGAATGAGTTTTGGTGTGCCCTGCTAGAGAAAGCATATGCAAAGTACGTATAATACATTGTTTTGATCCAAGTTACCATGTAGAGTATATTGTTGCTGAGCAATGATTTTTAATTAACAATTGCTGTCCAATAAATTTTTATCCATTCAATTTTGGAACAAAATGATCTTGCTTCTTGCTTGCTGGGTAAAATGCTCAAGACATTCTAACACCAGATTGCTTTGTCAAAATTTAGAGTTGTTAATAAAAGCTCTTTGGCCTTGAAGGTATTTCTGACATTGTAAGGATGCAACGTTTTTTGCCTCTGGGTTAACAACTGTTTTGTAGACCTTCATTGGCCTCCAAACTGCTTTTAACACTAGATTAAGAGCTGTGCAAAAAAATACTTCAATCAGATATAAAGCAGCCTGAGCTATGTATTACACAAATGCAACATTGATCCCATCACAAGTAAAGCCAGATTCTTTTGTTTAGAAAAGTTGTGTTGTGACAGGCGAGTTTTCATCTAAGGTTAACTGCAAACCAGAGGAAAAAAAAGTATACTAAGTTCAGGGCAGTGGCGAAAAATCAATTTTTATTTCACTAGACTGAGGAATTCAAAGACACAAGAAAATGGCTTAAACTAAGACATACATATAACACAGACCTTGACTTGACAACATATGTTCTGTGTTTCTCCAGACTGCAAGGGTCGTATGAAGCTCTGAAAGGAGGTCAAACTATTGAAGCTATGGAAGATTTTACTGGAGGTCTGGGAGAAGATTTTGACCTGAAGAATGTTCGAAAAGGAGGCGAGAAGGAGAAGAAAGAAATGTTCACAGTTATTCAAAAGGGCTTAAGGCGTGGTGATCTCATGGGTTGCTCCATCACTGTAAGTATGAGTTCTTTGAAAGAAAGCTCAAGACCTGGGACATGTTGACAAAAAGGCACACGAGCCAGCTGCAAACTCCATGACTTAGCCAAGCAATTAGCCAAGCAACCGATGAAGGCTAAAGAGTTAGCCGAAACATCTTGCTAAAATATACAAGTCAGTGACAAAAAACGGGACTATCGATTATGTTATCTCCTGACTACATTTACTCAATTTTTAGCCAAGCAATTGATTGTTAATAATTTTTGTTTTCTTTTTAAATGATTAATAATAAGTGTAATTATTTTAACCCACATGTAACGATTTGCAATAATTTGTAACATTGGTGCTGAAAAGCCTATTTTAGGGAGCAACAATGAATGTATGTGTATATAGGTATTAGTGTGTGTATAGAGCTATAACTTAATTGTATCTGGTTTCGAAGAAACAACTTGATGCAACCATTCTTACATTGTATTCCTTTGTAGAGGGAGGCAGTGCGAGAGCCATGAGATTTGGCACTTGAATTAACCCTGCTTGATCAATCCAGAGTCTTGTACTTGTACACTTAACTTGTACCAATAGCTAGGCTGTAATGTACACGTGGTTGAATCATGTCTTGCTCTCAACCTTTCGCGACAGAGTGGGTAGTTATACTGTATAACTGATTATTATTTCGCTCTTCCAGGCTGCTCCGAATCAGATAGAAGCTAAAGGTGATCTTGGATTGGTGAAAGGCCATGCTTATTCTGTGACTGGAGCCACCACTGTAAGACAAGATCAACAATGATAAGATTTTTTCTTTATAGTTCTATTTACAAAACTAATTAATGCATGTTACTTTTAATAAAGAAAATAAAATAGGAAAGGATTTTCAAGTTTTGGTATTAAGCAACTAGAAACTAGCAGTCTGTGAAATTGTCATAGATCTGTTAATAGGATCAATATTATACAGCAGGGTGTGTATATTTGTTAAGAATGAAGGCTTGGACATGATTATGTATTGTAAGTTGTACATGTATATAAGGAAGGGACCACATCTACAGTGTATGTAGAGCTAGACCACAAGAAAACATATTTCTCTCAAGAAACTTAGAAGATGCCAAACCTGGGCAGGTGCAGTGGGAGTTTTTGCTGTACCTTTTAGGGTATTGAGCCAAAAAAAGAATTTGTCAGGAGATAAATGAATGTGTTGTTTTAGGATTGGCACCTCTTAGGGGTGAGAAAAACGCAAGCCACACCCACAAAACATGATCTTGGTACCTCTTAGGAGAGGTTCAAGTTTGAGTTTTGAAGGATCATTGAAATAGTTCTAGCCCCTTAAAGTAGAATGATCTTTTTTCGTATCACCCATTCAGAGTACATATAGAAGTTTGAAATAAAGATTGAAATTAAATTTCCCATAATAAATTAATTTTATTTAGTCACTTGTTCTGTTTTTTGTCTGTGAGCACTGATTTCTGTATGTGTATGTTTTTGTCTTCCCAGGTGAACGTTTATGGCAGAGAAGTGGAGTTGGTTCGTGTGAGGAATCCTTGGGGTAATGAGAGAGAATGGGAAGGACCGTGGGGAGATAAGTAAGTGGTTTCAATAAGTTATGTTTGATAATGGTTAGTTCTAGAGTAGTGCAATATATAAATCCCTTGGGATAATTAGAGGAAGATTGAAGTTAAAGTTTAACCCAGTTGTAGCATAAGAAACCCCTGAACTAAATGTTAGGGAGAGGGAAGGAGCATTACCAAGGAGATAAAATGAGTAGTTCAAATAAGTTGTGTTTGATAATGATCTCTGTAGGGGTAGTGGAAAAAAATCCCTGAGATAATAAGAGTTTAATCCTGGGGTAGTGTAAGAAACTTCTGAACTAAATTTTAGGGACGGGGAGGAGCATGGAGAGACAAGTGAGAGGTTCCATTAAGTTATGTTTGGGTTAGTGTGATAAATTGTTAGGGTATTAAAGTGGTTAGCTAGTTCAAGTTATGTTTGAAGAGGCTTAGCCCTTGGTTGGTAGTATTCCAAATTCCTGGGATACTACTGTATGTGATCAGGAATCAGAGAGAATGTGCTTGGAGAGATACACTGTAATTGTGTTTCTGTCATAAAGTTTTGCCTCGAGGCATTCCAGATTCCTGGGGTAATGATAGGAACTTGATATATTGAATCTCTGGCATTGTAGGAAGGAAAACTACCCTTCTCCCCTTCTCTTTCATTTCTTTCTTTTTTTAGCTCTAGCACTAGCCATTAAATTGTTATTAATAAATGAATGAATAAATAATAACTAGATAAGGAGTTCTTTTATATCAAAGTTACTCAATACACTGGTTGTTTCTTTAAGATCCTCTGAGTGGAGAAAGCTCTCTGAATCAGAAAAGAGAGACTTGAATTTGACCTTTGCAGATGATGGAGAGTTTTGGTAAGTTCCCCAAAATCAAAATTTTAATGTTTTACACTCAATTGTAGCAATTACATGTGGTCACTTTCAAGCAACCATTGTTGGTTAATTAAAGTTTCTTGGTCACTTTTGCAATACAGGATGTCATTGGATGATTTTGTTACATACTATGACAAGTTGGAAATTTGCCACTTGGGCCCAGACAGCGCCAAAGGCACCGGAAATGCTAACAATTGGGAAGGACGTGCTGAGAAAGGTGCCTGGATTCGAGGTTCATCTGCTGGTGGTTGTCGTAACTTCCTCAATACTTTTGCCATGAATCCTCAGTACAGGTACCATTCAGTATTGCTTTTCTTTGTGGGACATTGACAAAGTTAATAATAATATTTCACTCGTAAGTAAAAACAAATAAAACCAGAGAATAGCCCTCCCGGCTGGCACACATGCTAGTTTTTTCTCTTCTGAACGAATTTGTCTTCAACAACATTAACCTCAAAACCTGACAGTCCAAAGTTGGTCTCAATAATTTTTGCCACTTTATGTGATGTGGCTGATATTATATGAAGCTAGTACATGTACAGTTTAGCAGCTACCTTCACCAGAGGGTAAAAGGAAAAGAGGCCGCCTGAAATCCACCTGGAGGAGGACTGCTGAGGCAGAATTTAAGTCTCTTCCTTAACTGGGGGCAAGCTTCAAGGCTTGTTATGTACCGACAGGAATGGAGGAAACTTGTTGATGCCCTGTGTGCCACTTGGCATCCAAAGGACTGATGATGATTGGATAATGCAATTCAAGAGTTTTCATTGGCTTTCCGGGGCGTTCTTATTTTTGTAAAGGTCATGCTGCCGAAATAAAGATAACTAAAATAATACAAAAATAATCGTTAATTCACACACATGTTAGATATGAGATGATTATAGCCAACTCGTCACTATGCACTGTGTTGGCTACAATGTATCAATCCTCTCCTATCTGAACTGTGCTCTTAGAATAAATGTTCATTTTATAGCTGTTTTAACAGAGGATAATTGTGAAGGTCACAGATAAAGTGAAATGGTAGGAGTTTAAAATGCAGTGTGAGGCCCCTTTTGTTGAAAGCCTTCTACACCTCCAAAAGCCTTGAGGGAAAAAAATGTCTTTGGGGCTAAAATAATATGATTTAGCTTAATGTTAAATTAATTAATAGAATACATGGATTTAAATCTTGTACAGAGTTGATCTCCAAGATGCAGATGATGATGAGGATGACAAATGCTCGTTAACAGTGGCACTTATGCAGACCAAGCGTCGTAAATTGAAGGCAGAGGAAGGAAAGCCCATGCTGACCATTGGCTTCTCAATTTACAAAGTACTTCTAATTAATTATTTATTATTAATTCAAGGGCATAGCTAGGGGGGTCCTGGAGTGTCCGTAATCCCCCCTCCCTTTGTAAGCCTTTTTTAAGGAAACAACCTACATCAGGTGGCAAAAACACCATGACAATCTGGTGAGTACTGTCACTTTGACACAGTGTGACCCCTCTTTTGAAAAATCTTGGCTGTGCCCTTGTAATTATATTTTCACAGCTCTATTTCTCACTTCATCTGTTCATATAATTTGAATTATAACTTCAGGCTGCTTCGTGGCCCTAGTATAATTCTCATCGTCTAATATTTGAGTACTGAATCTTAAGGGCTTCCTGCTTTTATTTTCAAGTAACCCACCATGCCTGACCAATGATGTCTAAGTTAAAATCATAACTTAAGAGTTTTTTTAGAAGTACCGGTAATGTGAGTGTTTGAAGCAGTCCAAATCTACAATTAAGACACCATGGAGAGACAGATAGTCAGGGATTGAAAAAAAAAAAAAAAAAGAATTTCAGCTTGCTCTTTGGACTAGCAGCTCTCAAATTTTGCTTGCCCTGCAGGCAAGCTTTAGTTTACTTTTGTTCTTAATTTGGCTGGCAGACAACTTATCTGGGCCCTTGCCCGTCATGAAAATGCAAATGAAAAGTTACAAGCCCGTCAGGAAAATCAACTGGATTCGGAAGACTGGACGGCACTTTATTTGAGCCCTATAGAGATAATAGTCAGTAATGTAAATTAAAGATTTGCTGTCTGTAGATCACAGATGAGGATTTGAAAGGTGGCAGGGCAGACAGAGATTTCTTTGCTTACCATGCGTCCACTGCACGCTCTCCAGTGTTTATTAACAGCCGTGAGGTGACTGGTCGTTTCCTGTTAGATCCTGGATCCTACCTTATCATTCCAACCACCTTTGAACCTGGCCACAATGGTGAATTCCTTGTGCGAATCTACTCTGAAAAACCTGTAACAACAAGGTATGGTTAACTTTTCTTTGTTTTATTCTTGCTTTACAAATTTAATACAGTCAGTAAGCATTGGGGCTCTTCTCATAGGTGTGCCCCTGCTGCCCTCGCCCCCCCCCCTTCCTAAACTTCCCTGCCTCTCTTTCTACTGTTGTATCAATGTGACAGTTGTCTGTTTTTTCCTTCTAAATGGGGTCTCTGCTGGGTTTCCAGGATTTGCTAACCATGAGTCGATTGGTCTTCATCTGGGAGCTGACTGTCCATAGTGGAAGCTCCTGGATGTCTCAGTAACCCAGTCTCCATTTTGAGAGACAGTTCCTAGCAAAACAGATGTATTCATTTGTCACGTCCTGTACCTTTTTATGTAGTCAGTCAATTTTATCATAATTAAGCATAGCGGCATTGTGATTACTGAGAATAATCTACATGCGTGAAGAAAATCTCCTCCTTGTCCATGCTATTTCTGAAAGTTTATTAAAGGCTCTTCAGCTCATTCAAGAACAGTTCACCCTGCTTTAAATATCTTTCAGAGTGAAGATGGGGGCATCTTATTAATAAACTAAGTGTTCAACTCCCTGAAATGAACTTTTCCTAGGCCTGCAATGTTCTCACTGCAGCAATCTTTGTGAAAAGGAGAACTTGCCTTTACTTCAAGTGAATGCTGTAAGAAGCCAATTAGCAATTTTTTTTCAGAAGGGTGTACCTGTGAAGGCAATTTCAGGAGTAACTTGTGCCACAATGCTACATGTGACTTGACTTTTAGCTGTAAACCCCTTGGAGTATTGGGTGGGAATGCTACAATTGCGAAAAATCATCTGAGTGGTGTATACATAGCATTCATTCAAGCATTCAAGCATTCATTCATTCATTCATTCATTCATTCATTCATTCATTCATTCATTCATTCATTCATTCATTCATTCATTCATTCATTCATTCATTCATTCATTCATTCATTCATAATCAGCACCTTTACTGGACAGGTATGGTTAACTTTGCTACTTAACAGTGGTACATGTAATTATTTCAGCCTAAAGTTGATTGTCAGTCTATTACTGGTTTTGCTGTTAAGCTATATTAAATGTACATGTATGATGGTTGGTCTCTTTTCTTTTCACAGCAAAGTTGATGTTAAGACTAACATCCAGTCAAGGGATGAGCGAAGATCCAAAGTAAGTGACAAGTGTTATGTGTGTCATGATACACATACGAAGAATGATTATAGAGTTTCATTTATTCAATATCAGCGTGAGATTTCTATGGTAGACAGTTGATAACGGTACTATGCCCCCGAAAGTATTACGGATAGAAATCAGGAGCGAATAATCTAATATTGTTTTTAATTAGCATAAATCTGCTTGACGTTTAAAATTTTATGTAAATCCTCTTCACAAACACTCTGAAACAGAAAGAAGTGGCCACCATTTGCTTCTATTTTCTGTGTAAGGCTTGGTGTGTACACAGAGGAAACAGAAGTGACCAGTGGGATATTCCATGGTATACCATGAGAAAATAATTAACAATATTATTATTCACTGAAGTGGCAGTAAATATCTATCACTTTCACCGACACTGAGGTGAATAATTGTTTTAGTATATACCACACAAGCTGAATAATTAACGGACCAAAATGTTATTTTATGTGTGACAAGCGGTCGGAAATTTTAAATTCTCTTGCACCGGCTGCTGGGAGGGGAATAGTGTTTGCTAATCACCTCTGAGTTAACCAATCATGGCGTGCAAAAAGCACTATTCACTTGTGTGGTATATACTAACTAACTTTATACCATGCAATAAAAAATACAGTGGACAACACAATCAGTGCAAGATACACTCAGCACACAATGGGAAGGGTGGGTGTAATATCATCAAGTAAACAACATCTTTCCTGTATTTGGATGTGGCATGGTACATGTATCATTATACATTGAACTCACTATCTCTTTTCTGATTGGTCAAAAGCGTACAGTGAATTTTCGAAATCAGCGCTTGTGACGTCATCTCTGCAGATTGTACAATAATCATGTCAAGGACACTCAAGGTCATGGGTGATCATGTCAAGTTCATGTGCTTTGTGTTGCTTGCCGTCAGTGATGAAGCAAAAACATGACTTTCATTTTTTTCGTTCAGTGTATAATAACACAATTGTTAGATTCGGTTTTTGTGATATCCAGAATAATCAAGGTCTCAGTAAGAGTTATCAGCCTCAGCCTTCGGCTTTGGCTGATAACCCCTACGTCGACCTTGATTATTCTGGATATCACAAAAACCTCATCCAATATTATAGTGTATAAACGTAAAAATATGATTTTCAACACTCCTCCATTTTATTTGTAACAACTATGCAATTTGTCTTACAGTATAGAAGCCACAGTAAAGAGGACAATGATGCAATGGATTCATCATTCAGGGCACTTTTCTTGAAGCTGGCTGGAGTGGTAAGTGGGTGGAAATCTCAAAAGCTTGCTTACAAGTCTATTTTCTGTGACTGTCTGTAATGTTTTGTGTTTTTCTGTAAACAATATGCTCTTTAGATAACCCTGCCGCACATCCTTGTCAATCGTAAATTAGAAAGTGATCATGGATTGAATTCCATGTCAGAAATTGAAAGAGCAAAGTTAAATTGTTAAGACTGCCAATTCTTAGACCATAATCTATTCAGAACTACATTATTTTAGAAATTTTTAATAAATTGTTCACTTTTAATTCTATACTATTTTGCCATTTCAGGACAAAGAGATTGATGCATTTGAACTTCAACAGATCCTAAGTACTGCCACAAAGAAAGGTATACACGTGATAATTATCATTACACCATCAAGTTTTAAAAGTGACATTACCCCTCCCCTCACAAAAAAAATTGTAGTGGCCCTCTTAGGTTATAGCATTCTCAAATGAAATTTGACTTTTGTTGAAAATTAAAGTTGGGAATAATGGTTACCGTAATAATTGTCATGATTCCTCTTTTTATTCAGTGCTGAAAGAGAAGGAGTTCAGCTTGGAAGCATGCAGGTTAGATTGTAATGAATATTATGTGGTGCTTTTTCCCATAAATGCGAGTGTCCTAGGCCATTGCAACCAAATCTGTAGAACACTCAAGGATATCCTCTAAGTGTCGTTCCCGGCAAGTAAATTCCTCAACTTACAAAATCTGAGGTTTACATTAACACAAGATGGTTAGTTTTAATGACAGCAGAGTTAGCTTTACTTAATATGTGTGGCATTGTCTGCTTGGCCAATATTCTCCAAGTTTGGTTTGTTATTGAAGTGAAGTGAAGTGAAGTGAAGTGAAAGACTTTATTTAATGAGGGTGACCCGTGACAGTAACTTAAGTTACTGATAAACTTGGGGCCCTCAGCTTATTACAACATACATGTACCTTTAGCTGTAGTAATGTTATAAATAACCCAGTTGATGATCTTCACTCTCCTAACCTGACTGTTTGCCAGTGTTTTTATATAATAAGGAGAACTTTATTGTTGATTAACACTATTTTATTTTTGTCCTCAGGAGCATCATTGATCTTAAGGACGTATCTTTTGGTATAAAAAAGCAGTTTGCATGACTTGTCTTAGTAGTAATTGTGTATGTGTCTTAGTATGTGTCTTAGTAGTAATTGCGACAATTTACAATTTGGTTTTGCTCCAGTTTTTACTTTAAATTAGGGTTATCCAGCTTTGGATTACACTCACAACTGGATTATTAAGCTCAATGCTAGATATTCTTCTTTTCACTTAATACTTTCCTGACAATAGTTGCATGTTTCTGTCACAAATAATTTTGATTACCAGAATGAATGGTGCTCAAAAACAATGAGCAAAGATTGTCTTATCATGCTGTTTTAGGAGTTTGAAGTTGTAATGTAGAAACTCTTGATTTGTACATGCATGTGAATCATGATGATGATGAGTATTGTGTTAGTGATGTACTTTGTCACTATCAACTTGTGCATGGCGGAGTGAGAGAACGGCGCTTCAAATAATTTCCTGGCTGGTGCTGGTCAAATTGTCCAGTCAAACCTATTTTTGTTCAGACATATCCCATTTTTGGCCAGACAAACATCGATTTTGTCTTATCACTATAAAAGTGCCCCCCTTCCCCCCTTCATATGATGTTTAAATATGAAACAAGTAAATTTTCAAAGCAGTTATTGTACATGAGCATTGATCTCAATGCAGGAAAAGTGGAACGCATGGTACAGCAAAATCAGTATCACATTTGTGTGAAAATTTGCAATGGTAGTCGGAAATTTTATGACTATTGCGAATCATTTATTAAAAGTTCTTGGTCTGGTAGTTAAGTATCCGCCTTTTTTCTCTCCATTTTCACAAATGCCAGTAATATTGAACCTTTAAATATTTAAAACTTGAAACTCTAGATTTTTTCCTTACCAGCATAAACAAACGGACAAATTGTCTGGCCATCTAAGGATTTGACTGGACAGCGCCTATTTTGACTAGAGATTGTCTGTTGACCGGCCGTTATTTGAAGGCCTGGTCAGAAGAGTCTATTGCCCTTCATACAGTACAGCAATCGTTATGTGGTCTTTACATGTTTGGCCACATTATGTTATACTTGATAAATAAAAAACATGTACCGTGTTTCTATTGAGTTATAGAAACATGAGTGGAAGTTTGGGAGAATGAGAAATGCTGTGGGAACACGAGCTGCAGGCGAGTGTTTCCACAGCTTTTTCGAGTTCTCCCAAACTTTCATAAGTGTTTCTATAACTCGATAGAAACACAGAGAACATGTTTTCTATTTCTTTTAGAAAACACTGCAACGAATAAAAGGAAAACAACTTGTTAACTTTGATCATCAAAATGTAAATTCTCTTTGCTCCGGCCATCATTACATCAACAGCTTGTGCTAGTTCCGTGTTTCCATCGAGTTAAAGAAACACGATTTTTAACCAATCAACGCTCGTATTTTCTTAGGACTGTTTTTTTAATTAATTTACAATGTATTGGCTGGGTCACTCAGGTTTTTAATGCTTTTTAGTGAATTGAACACAATTGGGTAAGTGCTTTGTGTGAAAAAGAAGTTGGCCAAGTACATGCTACGTTTGGCACAGTTATAACTCATTTTAAGCAAGGTAGAACAAACAAATCTAAAGGATTGCAATAGTTTTTTCCTTAACAGTAAAATAGGATGACAAGACTGGAAAGTTGGATTATGATGAATTTAAGGAGGTTTGGGCAATGGTTAAAGACCTACTGGTAAGTTCACTTGACACTCTTACATTAACAAGTGACTGGAGTAATGAAACAAATTTGTAGATATAAGGAACTGTGGGTCAGTGCTTAGTAAGAAACTGATACTCGCCATTGAGTTGACAATTAAGCAATTGCAATTTACACAACCCTGAGAAATTTAATTGGGACTTCAAGTAATATATCAAACAGGAAAAACCATGTTTGACCTTATTTCCAAACACAGAGAAGAGAGTTGAAAATGCGAAGCGCAACGGAGTATTTTTGACGAACTTTGAGTTGTTTGGAAATGTGGTCAGACATGGTCTTACGTGTTTGATATATTACTTCAAAGTGCTTCTGACAATGAAAATCCAGACAGTCACTTGCACCTCTGACATTGGTGGCTTTTGGGTGGGCTCATGCTGCCAACCTATTCTTGTGGCTTGCGTTTGTGATGCAAACCAGAATCTATTTGCAGGCTATTTGGTGGCCAAAGCGGCATAAATGGATCAGAAATCAATGCAAAAGCATACTAAAGAGTGAAACATTGATCATTGCTTTTGAACCTGATTGGCCAGTATGCATGTCTGAATGCCTGTCTAAGTGTTTTTTCTTGGAAAATAAGACTCAGAAATTCTTGACGTCTTGTATAATGATTTGCTTCAAACAAAACCTCTCCCCTCTCTGTTTCCATCTATTTTATTGATTGTAGAAAGGTTACCACCTAGGGGGCTGGACTCCCGTGTAAAAAGGGTGGGGTCACTTGTCGTACCTTTTAGGGGTTAAAAAGGGGTGTTGACACCTCTTAGGATGTTTAGCCTCAAGAGGTCCACAGCCAGAGCTTTTGCAGTGCATTTTAGGGGATGGAGCTGAAAAAAGTATGACAGGAGGTAATGTGTTGTTTTAGAATTGGTACCTCTCAGGAGTTTCAACCATTCCAAGCCATGTCCACAAAACAGGATCCTGGTGCATCTTTGGGCTTCTTTTCAAAATTTCTGATGAGCTCCCCTATCCTTCTTATATGGGTGTGTCCCCGGGGGTTACCTAGTGTGTGATTGAGACTTTGTTGATTTTTCACAGAAAATTTTTGCTGAGCATGACAAGGATGGGAGTGGCACCATGGACATGTTCGAGATGCGAAGTGCCTTGAGTAAACAAGGTATCATTGTCTCGGCTATTTGGTTTGCAAGTGCTGCTCTATAATTAATTTGGTAGAATTTCAGGGTAAAGCACAAGTTACAGCATGCAGGCTTTAGATTCCTCCTCTATTGGGACGTTTTATATGTTGCACTAATCCTGGATTAGCTTTACTGGAATTTCCTGGCCGCTGACAGTATCCAGGCACTTGACAGAAATGATGTTAAATTGGTGTTATTAACACAGGCTACAGAAGATCTATGCTTGATCATGGTCAAATTATCTGTCATTATGTCAGTTTTAGTCAATAACTTATTAAGAGTGTAAATTCTTGACATCCACCAACTTCCGTTTTCAAGGATTACATAATCGTGTAATGTGTGCCTCAGTCTCCGACATAGCTTCACTTGGCTTTGAACAACTTAGCCCTGGAGAACAGATGAATACTCATGAGTTGTTTTTCAACCAGGTGTCAAAAATGGTTGTGTAATATAGCAGTGGAACAGCAATGCTTCTCATCACTAACATGACAAATTAAAGCACAGATTGGCACTGAATTGTGGAGGTTAAACGCCCAACCCACTTGCTTTTGATTTTGCGCCCTTTTGACAAGCGTGTTTGCCCCACATAAGAAGTGCTTAAGGAACAGGAAATGTTTTATTCACTCTCAACACTAGGAAAACTTCAGACTCTAGCTTTCCTAAACTTAAGACACACATCAAGAGGCACCAAGACTGAGTAGGAACTCAGTCGACCTCTTAAAAAAAGTGTGGCGCAAACTCTGATGGTGGAAATGCCATCGGGTGTGGAAACCTCCTGCTGCTTTGGTAGTGGAGGCCAGAATGGCTCGTGGCTTTTTGAGCAGAATTTTGTGCAAACCTCATTCCAAATTGCAGTTTGAACATTCGTTTTGCTGTTATGCACGGAAAGTCTCGAGCCTTTCAAAGTCCTGAAAAATGGTTGAGAATCTTCATGTGTATTTTTGAAATTTGAAAGAAAACAGAATGTTGATCTTAATTTGCTGTGTGTGTTGTTGTTAGGTGTTAATCTCAGTCAGCCAACTCTGGATTGCATCTCTGCACGATTCAACAACAAGGCAGGAAATTTGAGTTTTGATGATTTCCTTCAGATTGTCTGCCGTATCTACTCAATTAAAGGTGCGAGTGCTATTCCGTCATATCGTATTATGTTGTGTCGACAGACCGACTCATTGACTGACTGACCGACCCATTGACTGACCAGCGGGTCAACTGGCCAGCTGACTTAGCGACTTGCCAGCCAACTGGCTGGCTGACCAATCGAACATCCAATCAACTGACTGACCGTCCGACTGGCTGGTAACTTTATTTTTACCATTATTGCTCAAATGTGCAGCGAAATCATCTTGACCATAGTTACATGTAATTGAGGGAAATGGTTAGGAAACTTGGCAAAGTTTTTTGTTGTGTATTTTTGTTTGCTATTTTGGGTTTTGACCCTGCACAAAAGGTGGTTATGTGTGCTCATACAACTAACAAACAGGAGCATTGCGATTATGTAATTCATGCGTAGTCTATGAGGATAAAACAAAAGATGTGTGGGGTCAAGGACCTTCCAACAGAAATCTTAGCCTGTTTGTTTACTTCTTTGATGTTTACCGGCCTTCCTAACCATTTCCCTCTATTACCTATGTCTTGAGTGTATTGCAACTCACCATTTTTGTTTTTGTCCTTTTTAGACGAATTTGATAAGTATGCTGACCGAACCGGAAAAGCCACATTCGGTCTTGATCAGGTGGGATAGTAGTCTTTTGATTAGCTTTACATAATATATCGGTGCTCACTTATGATCTACTGGAGGCCACACGCATAGGTGACGTTATTGACATTTTTATTTCTTTATTGCTTAAAATTATGGGCTATAACTTAACGAATGCCAGGAATGGAAATAGCATGTCGAAAATTTGTCGATAGCCAAGTTTGAGGTCCCTGGCATTAAAGGATTAGATTCTATGACGGTTTGAATTTTTGAAAAATTAAGATCTGTATAGCAAAGGTGGTTGGAGATTTTCCGAAAATTCAAATTCAACTATGGTCACCTGACCCCAGCTGCAAAGGGCCTCTAGATCCCAGAAGACGGCAAAATGTGGTAAGAACAACAGTGAGACACTCGTCTAACGGCTCGTGTGCTACTTTTTTTTTCTTACCACGTTTTGATGTCATCTGTGATCTATTACTGAACAGACGCACGGCAATAGAGAATCTATTTGTTAAATAATGTCAATAACGGACGACAAATAAACTGTGAGAGCTTTTGTCGACCTTGTCGAGGTCTGAGTGTTTTTCCCAGAGATGTACCAATTTATCTGATCGTCGATTTATGAGAACGATGTTCTAAATGCAGTGACTTTCTTTTCGCCATGTAACATATGTAACATGTGTCGATGCATGACCCTACTTGTGGGATTTTCTTACCCCATGTGAAATCGGCACCTCTTCGCAGCGGTCAGACACATCAAAGGAAGCTGTAGTATAAGGGACGGACCATTATTTTATTGATTTGGGGGGGGGGGGGG